TCACCATCGCCATCATCAGCATTACGATCATAATCATCATCAGCATCATCATCATCATCGACATCATCAGCATCACCACCATCACCATCACCAGCACCATCGCCATCGCCATCGGAATCATCATCACCATCATCAGCAGCAGCATCAGCATAAGCAGCAGCATCACCAACATCAGCATCATCCGCATCATCATCATCATCAGCAGCATCATCATCAGCAGCAGCATCATCATCATCATCTTCACCATCATCAGCATCATCAGCATCATGAAAATAATCAACCAGCCGTTTACTCTTGTCCTCCTCCTCCTCCTCCTCTTCCTCCCATTCATCCTCCCAATCCTCCTCCCCCTCCCCCCCCTTCTCCTGCTCCTCGCGGCGCTGGCGCCGACCGAGACCGTCGCAGCAAGGCCTTCGGCCCCCGCTCCGGCTGCGACGGCGTCCGACGACGACGACGACGACGTCGACAATTGTTCGCTCGATTCCGGCCCCTCGGAATCCAACAGCAGCTTTCCGACAGTTTTCTCTCGGGCAGTCGCCGGAGGGGTTCACAGGGCACCTTTCGGGAAACCATGCCGCAGCGGTCCGTCTGACGGCGTCCTTGGGGACAATCTGCACCGAGGCTGGCGACAACGACGACGACGATGACGTGGACGACGACGACGACGACGACGACGACGACGACGACCAGAACGACACGGACGCGGACGACGAGGACGAGGACGAGGACGACGACGACGACGGCAACGGCCGCACCGACGACAACGGGGGGGCGGGACGGTGGCAGCGGCGGCGACGACAACAGCGGTGGCGAGGGCGACGGCGACGGCGACGACGCCAGAACTTGCTGGACTGCGGACCCTCGGGGGCCGTCGTGAGGCCACAGGATGGCCATACGCGAGCCCGTCAGCGCATGGCGAGATTGTTTCATGGGGGCCTTAGTGTTAAGAATGCATAACTTAACCGTTCGCTCTTGAGAGCCTACGCTCTGAGTTGTTTATGCCACAGTTCGCACCTGGGAGCCCTGGCGTTAAGACCTCTCTACATCATGTGGAGCTTCTTGGGGCCGCAACATCATCTCGATGATACGCTTTGCTCCTAGGTCCTAGGGGCTCACCAAAGCGGTCTTTTGGATGCTCCTTGGGGTTCTCTTGAGAATCTGGATGGCTGTGGGCTGTGGGGGCTGTCATGCTGCAGCCCTACACGGTACAACATTAAACGCTAAAGTGGAAACTTCACCGCTACACCGCTAGACCGCTGCACCATTAACTGCAACGGAGCATGACAGCTCCCACAGCCGTCCTGCACGGTGCACCATAAGACGCCAAGGTGCAGGACTGTACCGCTACACCATTATCGGCGACGGAGCATGACAGCTCCTACAGCCGTCCAGACCCCGAAGTCTCAATATTCTGGCTCGTCACCTGGTCCAGCACGCAATTTCAGGTACCTACGTTGGCTTGTAGGTCCCTTCAGCCGGGGACTGAAGGAACCTTAGGGTCCCCTCGGGGGGGCTGGACTACTGTGGGACCTGTCATGCCCCGTTGCGGCTAATAGCGTAACGGCGGTCACAGTTTCATGGTGTAAAGGAGTAATCTAATCCTACACCGCCGCGGCTCACGACGTAACGGTGTAAGTCTACATCGTCGCGCTGACGCTGTAACAACACTGTAGCGGGGTAGCGCTACACCGTTGCGGTGTAGCTGTGTAACGGTGTAGCGCTACATCTTGCGCTGACGGTGTGACGGTGCAACGGTGCAGCGCTGCACCGTTACAGCTCACGGTGCAGCGCGCAACCCTACACCGTCGGTGTCACAGCGCCACGGTGCAAACCAAACCGAAAATCACCAACATACCCAGATCACCACACACACACAAGCTGAGAACTTCCCCCCTCGGGCCACGGGGGCCCAGAAACGCCCAGACACGTCGATCCTCGACCACGGCGACGGCGGTGCCGGCGGCCACCTCGGCGGCCTCCTCGAGCTCAGCGACCGCGACCCGCAGGAGGCCGCGGAGGAGGGCGGCAGGCTCTGGCTGCTCCGCCAGCGCCCGGAGCTCCTGGGGCGCTGCGCGGCCCGGCCGCCGGCGTCTCGGGGATGCCTCTTCCTTCTCGTTGTCGTCATCGTCTTCCCCCTGCTCCTCCTCCTCCTCCTCCTCTTTCCCCTCCTCTTCCTCCTCCTCCTCCTTTTCCTCATCCTCCTCTTCCTCCTCCTCCTCCTTCTCCTCCGCCTCCTCCACATCTTTCCTCTTGTCCTCCTCCGGCTCCTCTTCCTCCTCCTCCTCCTCCTCCTCCTCCTCCTCCTCCTCCTCCTCCTCTTCCAAGTCCTTCTCCTCGTCCTCCTCCGTCTTCTCTTCTTCCTCCTGTATACTGCAATTACTAGTGACAGTGGAGTCCCAGGTGTCAATGCCATCCCAGCACCCCCATGGGCGGTCGCCTCAGCTTGCTGCCGACACCCTTTCGTCCAGTCGCAACTGCCGCATCTCCCCTCCCATACCAGCCCTGAGGTTCTCGTCTTCCTCCTCCTCGACGTGCTGCTGCCGCCCCCTCCCTCCGAACCTTCCTGTCCTTTATCCCTCATTCTTCCCCTCACTCGACCACCCTCCTTCGACTTTTCCTCCCGCCTCCTCCTTCCCCTCCTACTCCTCCTCATCCTCCTCCTCCTGACTCCGTCCTCCCTCCGTCCTGCTCTTTCCTTCCTCCTCCCTCCTCCTCCTCCTCCTTCCTCCGCCCTCCTCCATAATCTCCTCTTCTTCGATTGGAACAGCATTGCTGATCAAATGTGTTTCAGTCCATAAATGGGTTTGCCATATCTTCGGGGCGATTCGATTTTCAATGCAAATTACCACTTGTCTCAGGCATCCTCCTGACGGCAATCAGAGCCACGGGAAAACAAATATTACCAGCGCTTGCAATCAAGAACCGAACACAAGAGCTGGAGGCACCGTGGCAGATGGCGATGGCCTGAGTAAGGTTACAAAGCAAGCATATCACGTTCAATCCTCAACCCCCTCCACTTCATCATGATCTTCCTTCCTCCCAACTTCCCTCTCCCTCTTTCTCACGTTCCCCACTCATCCATCCTTGTTCTCCTCCTGCTCATTCTCCACCACCTCGTCCTCCACCTTCTCCTCCTCCTCCGCCTCATGTTGCTCCTCTTCCTTATCATCCTCCTTCTTCTGCTCCATTCCTTTTCCGTATCAATAACTTCTCCCTGTCGCACTCTGAGGCAAGTGCTTGGGGCGGGCCGGGCGTTTGACCTGAGACTTCCTCACCGTTTATAAACCTAAAGCTTAAACACTGGCAACGGCTTCACAGATGGAGGGCGGATGGTTTCGAAATGTGGCTCTCACCACAGCGCCGCGCACAGTCGTTTTAGAAATTCGCAAGAGTTTCACTGATTGAGGGCGACCCGTTTTCAAAATGCGGCTCTCGCCTAGCGCCGCGCACATTCGTTGTAAACATCTGCAAGAGCGTCACGGATTGAGGGCCACCCGTTTTCAACATGCGGCTCTCGCCTTAGCGCCTCGCAAATCCTGTCAAGATTTGCAAGAGCTTCGCGGATTGAAAGCGGCTCCTTTTCAAAATGAGGCTCCCGCCCTGGCGCCGCGCACATTCGTGCATGCAATCTCCAAGAACTTCACGGATTGAAGGCCACACGTTTTCAAAATGTGGCTCTCGCCACAGCGCCGCGCACATTCTTCATAGAAAGTTGCAAGAGCTTCACTGATTGAGGGCGACCCGTTTTCACAATGCGGCTCTCGCCTGGCGCCGCGCACATTCGTCTTTCACGGATTGACGGTCATCCGTTTTTAACATGCGGCTATCGCCGTAGCGCCGCGCACATTCGGTTAAGATTTGCAAGAGTTTCGCCATTGAAAGCGTATGTGGCTCCCGCCTTCGTGCCGTGCACATTCGTTTATAAAATTTGCCAGGGTTTCATGGGCTCCAATGATCACAATACAGGAAACGGTGTTTTTGAAGGATTCCAGGTTTTGCGTGTGCAACCGTTACGGTGATTCGCGGTGTTGAAAACCCAAGAATGGCGTTCTGGTCCGGTTCAGGATCGTCAAAGCGCAAGAGTCAGGTTGACCCGTGACGTTGGAATCCCGAAAACAAAATGTTGGCATGCTTCAGGGTCTTCGAACAGTTGCCTTCCAACGAGGCAGTTCCCTCAATGGGAATGAGCCGTTGTAGGGGCCCATGAGGAGGGAGCTTGGAGGGAGGCTTGATTCCAACATCGTTGATGACTCTTGGGTTTACTCTGGTCCTCCTCCTCCTCCTCCTCCTGCTTCTCCTCCTCCTCCTCTTCCTCTCCTTATCCTCCTTATCTTCTTCCACCACCGCGACCACCTCCCCGTCCACCTACTCCTCCTCCTCCTCCGCCTCCTCCTCCTCCTTCTCCTCCTCCTCCTCCTTCTCATCATCATCATCATCATCATCATCAGTATCATCATCATCATCATCATCATCATCATCATCATCATCATCATCATCATCATCATCATCATCATCATCATCATCATCATTCTCCCCCCTGGCCCATCCTCCCCCCTCCTCAAAATCATCATCACCCTTAGCACCATCATCCTCACAATCACCACCATCACCACCACCACCACCACCATCATCATCATCATCATCATCATCATCATCATCATCATCATCATCAGTATCATTATCAATATCATCATCAACATCGTCATCAGCACCATCATCATAGCCATCATCATCAACCTCAGGATCAGCATCCTCATCGTCATCACCGTCATCATTAGCAGCAGCATCATCATCACCATCGCCTTCATCATCATCGTCGTCAGCGTCATCATCATCACCAGCAGCATCATCAGCATCAGCATCATCATCATCAACATCATCAACATCATCAGCATCATCACCATCATCATCAACCCCATTATCCTCATCATCATCACCAGCATCAGCATCGTCATCATCATCAGCACCATCACCATCATGAGCATCATCAGCATCAGCACTAGCAGCAGCATCAGCATCACCCTCGGCATCATAATCAGCATCATCATCACCGTCGTCATCACCATCATCCTCACCACCACCACCATCATCATCAGCATCATCACCATCGTCATCATCATCATCATCAGCAGCATCATCATCATCGTCATCGTCGTCGTCATCATCATCATCAGCATCATCATCCTCAGTTTGCCCATACGTTCAGCTGGGGAGCCTCCCCCTCTGCCTGCACTGCTTTTGGCGGCGATGCAGCGGCTGGCGAGAGCGTCTGACGGCAAGGAGGTGGAGGCGGAAAAAAAACACACAAAATTATCTTGGCGAAGGACCCAACCATATGCAGATGTGGGTAATTACCGCAATTGTGAATATCTTCTTCGGTGAAGCTCCCTGTGGGGCCACGAAGCACTGCAATGGGTGAGGGGAGGACGCCTGCAGGCGGTAGCACTGGGGCCGTCGGTGGAGCTCCCTATGGGGCCGCTCTACTAGGTGGGCGAAAATGCCGAATTCGGTTTTCGGGGCGCATGTGGACGGTCCCACTGGGGGCTTCGGTGGAGCTTCCTATGGGGCCACGACATATTTTTACTGGGTGTGTGTAAAACTGCCAAATTGGGCGTGTGGGACCCATGCGGGCGGTCCCACTGCGGGCTTCGGTGGAGCTCCCTATGGGGCCACGAAACGATGTAGTGGGCAAGTGAAGATGCCCAATTAGTTTTTGGGGACGCATGCGGACGGTCCCACTGGAGGCTTCGATGGAGCTCCCTATGGGGCCACGAAGCGCTGTACTGGGCAAGTGAAAATGCCAAATTGTGTGTGTGTGTGGGATGCATGCGGGCGGTCCCACTGGGGGCTCCGGTGGGACTCCTTATGGGGCCACGAAACACTGCATTGGGTGGGTGAACATGCCAAATTGTGTGTGTGGGTGTGTGTGTGTGGGTGTGTGGGTGTGTGTGGTGTGTGTCAAGCTAGACAGCTCGAGCGAGTCAAGCATGGCATGGCAATTCCCGCCCGCCCTCCCACAACAGAAGAAACAGTGATGGCACAACTGGGGGCTGCTCGGGCATTTCAGTGCGAGTGGAGGATACCCCAGGACACCGCATTGACGTCCGCGCGGGATGCGCGCCGCGCCCCATTCCCGCCACGCATTTCGCATCGTCGACGACAAGACTGGCCATGTTGAAAGGAACAACGGACACGTTCCGCCCTCCCACAACATAAGAAACAATGCTGGCGCAACTGGGTGCTGGCGCGTAGCGGTAGGACAAGGCAGGGCATGCTGAGAGGAAAAAACCGAGACTTTGTATTGATTTTTTACAGTCAGGATGGGCGGCCCCGGATTGACGGCCGCGCGCGACGTGCGCCGCGTCCCATATGTGCAGGTCCTGGGCCAGCCCAACGGGCCAGAGGCGTGCTAAGATCTCCGGTAACTACTTCACAATCTTCTAGTTTGCGCGCGCGGGGCGGCCCCTGGGAGCCCCCGGACGAAAAAAAAACCCGAGCAGGTCATGGGCACGTCGGTCCCAGCGATGGTTTTCTTCTTCGGCGCTCACTTCCAGGTCCCAGAGCGCCCCAGGAACGCCCCAAGAGAGCCGAGACGCCCCCGAGACGATCCAAGGGGCCCTGAGTCGCCGGAAGATCGTTCCAAGACGCCCAAGATGGCCTCCAGACGGCCGAAGACGCCAAGAAACCGCGGGGAGCCTCAGGAGGCCCTCCAAGAGCTTGAACAAGCAAAAACCTCCCAGGCATTCGTCACCCCAGGGCCTCCTGGAACGCCCCGGCGCCCAATGAATTGGCCAGCTAAAAACGTGCGCCGAGCCAAAGCGGGAGCGCAACTTTGAGAAAATTTCGCTCGGCGCCCAAGCGGGAAGGTCATTTCATTCACTTCGAGCGGGGGGGGAGGGGGGTGTGCCGCGACCAATTCTTGCCATGCACTTTTGCGGGGTGGACGACAAGAACAGCTATGCGGGCAGGGAAAATCAGCATGGCATTGCTTCTGACAAGTAAGGTGGCCCCTCCCGCCTTGGGGATGCCCCAGAAGTCCGCGCGCGATGCGCGCCGCGCCCCATTCCTGCCACGCATTTCGCATCGTCGACGACAAGACAGGCCATGATGAAAGGAAAAACGGCAACTTTGTATTGTTTTTTACAGTCAGGATGGGAGGGCCCGCAGCCCGCATGGACGTCCGCGCGCGATGTGCGCCACGTCCCACTCCTGCCACATATTTCGCACCGTCGGCGACAAGGCAGGCCATGCTGAGAGGAGAAAGCGGAGACTTTGTATTGATTTGTTTACTGTCAGGATGGGCGGCCCCGGATTGACGGCCGCGCGCGATGTGCGCCGCGTCCCATATGAGCGCCGCGTCCCACTGCTGCCACATATTTCGCACCGTCGGCGACAAGGCAGGCCATGTTGAGAGGAAAGAAAAACTTTGTATTGATTTTTTGCAATCAGGATGGGCGGGCCCGGATTGACTGCCGCGCGCGATGTACGCCACGTCCCATTCCTGCCACGCTTTTCGCATCGTCAACGACAAGAAAGACCATGCTGAGAAGAAACACGGCAACTTTGTACTGATTTGTTACAGTCCAGATGGGAGGTCCCGGATTGGGTTGCTATCGGCCGGAATACGAGGTAGGTGGGGGTATCTAATAATAAAGAACAAGGACGTGTGTGACGCATGAGGGCGGCTCCCCACGGGGCCACGGAATGCTGTACTGGGCGGGTGAAAATGCCAAATTAGGTTTTCAGGGCGCATGCGGACGTCGGCACTGGGGCCTTCAGTGCAGCTCCCTGTGGTGCCACGAAGCGTTGTACTGGGTGGGTGAAACGCGAGGAGGAGGGAGGAGGGGGCCACGAAACGCTGTACTGGGTGTGCGGGACGCATGCGGGCGGTCCCACTGGGACCTTCGGTGGGGCTCCGTCTGGGGCAACGAAACACTTTACTGGGTGGGTGAAACGCAGGGAGGATGGAGGAGGGGGCCAAGAAACGCTGTACTGGGTGTGCGGGACGCATGCAGGCGGTCCCACTGGGACCTTTGGTGGGGCTCCCTATGGAGCCGCGAAGCGCTGTACTGGGTGGGTGAAACGCAAAGGAGGGAGGAGGGGCCGCGAAACGCTGTACTGGGTGTGCGAGACGCATGCGGGCGGTCCCACTGGGACATTCGGTGGGGCTCCTTATGGGGCCACGAAACACCTGACTGGGTGGGTGAAACGCAGGGAGGAGGGAGGAGGGGGCCACGAAACGCTGTACTGGGTGTACGGGACGTGCGCGGGCGGTAGCAATGGGACCTCTGGTGGGGTTCTTTATTGGGCCACGAAATGCTGCATTGGGTGGGGGGCCTGTCCCCCTACAGGGAGTTTTTAAACGACGAATAAAAAAGACTCAGAAAATACACCAAACTTGCCCACACACACACACACACAAACAACAAAAAAAAGCCTGGCGAAAGGCCCAACCATGCGCAGTTGTGACTACCGCACTTGCGAATAACATCGACGCCCGCGCCCCCGATGCGGCCACAACTTCCCGCCCGAGCCCAACATGTTCAGGGGCACGTTCGTGGCCGTCTTCGCGGGCGCCGACGACGACGAGGACGGCGTCCCCCTGACCGAGGAGCAGAAGCAGGAGAGGGCTCTGAGAGCCATGAGGGAGGCTGCCGCTGGGGCCTTCGGTGGAGCTCCCTATGGGGCCACGATCCTCGTGAGGGGTGTGCCGAAATGGCCAGAGGCCGCCATGCGAACCCTGCCACTGGGGCCTTCGGTGGAGCTCCCCATGGGGCCACGATCCTCGTGAGGGGTGTGCCGAAATGGCCCGAGGCCGCCATGCAAACCCTGCCACTGGGGCCTTCGGTGGAGCTCCTACAGGGCCACGATCCGCATGGGGGGTGTGCCGAAATGGCCCGAGCCGCCATGCGAACGCTGCCACTGGGGCCTTCGGTGGAGCTCCCTATGGGGCCACGATCCTCGTGAGGGGTGTGCCGAAATGGCCTGAGGCCGCCACGCGAACGCTGCCACTGGGGCCTTCAGTGGAGGCCACGATCCTCGTGAGGGGTGTGCCGAAATGGCCCGAGGCCGCCATGCGAACGCGGCCACTGGGGCCTTCAGTGGAGCTCCCTATGGGGCCACGATCCTCGTGAGGGGTGTGCCGAAATGGCCCGAGGCCGCCATGCGAACGCGGCCACTGGGGCCTTCGGTGGAGCTCCCTATGGGGCCACGATCCTCGTGAGGGGTGTGCCGAAATGGCCCGAGGCCGCCATGCGAACGCGGCCACTGGGGCCTTCGGTGGAGCTCCCTATGGGGCCACGATCCTCGTGAGGGGTGTGCCGAAATGGCCCGAGGCCGCCATGCGAACGCGGCCACTGGGGCCTTCGGTGGAGCTCCCCATGGGGCCACGATCCTTGTGAGGGGTGTGCCGAAATGGCCCGAGGCCGCCATGCGAACGCGGCCACTGAGGCCTTCGGTGGAGCTCCTTATGGGGCCACGATCCTCGTGAGGGGTGTGCCGAGATGGCCCGAGGACGCCATGCGAACGCGGCCACTGGGGCCTTCGGCGGAGCTCCCTATGGGGCCACGATCCTCGTGAAGGGTGTGCCGGAATGGCCCGAGGCCGCCATGCGAACGCGGCCACTGGGGCCTTCGGTGGAGCTCCCTATGGGGCCACGAAACGCTGTACTGGGTGGGTGAAACGCAGGGAGGAGGGGGGAGGAGGGGGAGGAGGGGGCAGAGGAGGAGAGGAGAGGAGGGGAGACGCGGGCCACCGTCTCTTCAAAACGAGGACCCAACACCACAGGATGGTTGGGGGGAAAAAAACGCAACATATCGTCCCCAGACTAATTGTTACCATGTTTGAATCTTCTTCCTGTATAGGGACAGGCCCGACTTAAACATAGAAGAATTACTCGCCGTCAACTCGCGGCAAAGTGTCGACGCACGCGAGGCGCCCTCGCGCAGGCTGTAGCATCCACGCCACAAAGGCGGCTGAGTCGCGCCGACGGGCCTCAGCCCAAGACCTGGGAAAAGTACGAGCCGCGCGGCTGCGACCATGGCGCAGAAATAGACGAGAGGAGGAGGAGGAGGAGGAGGAGGAGGAGGAGGAGGTTGAGGAGGAGGGGGAGGAGGAGGAGGAGGAGGAGGAGGAGGAGGAGGCGGAGGAGGAGGAGGAGGATGAGGAGGAGGAGGAGGAGGCGGCAGGGGAGAAGGGGGGGAGGGGGGGGGGAGGAGAAACGCAGGAGGGCAGGGGAGACCCGAGCTCCTTGCTGCTCGCGAAGTGCCTCTCCACAAAGGCCGACATGAGCTCGCAGGCGTCCTGCACCGCGCGCTGGTCGTCCGCGACCAGGCGCACGACCTGTGGCACCTTGTGCTTGGAGAGCACGTGCTGGGCTGCGCCGTCCGCCTCCGCGTCGTCCCCGTCCGCGTCGTCGTCGTCCTGCCCGCGGGGCGGCGAAAACACGTCGTGCGCTGCGAGACGCCTGTGAGGAGGCAAGTACTGCGAGGTCTTCGTCGGAAGGATGTGACAGGATTAAGCCCCGTTGGGGGGCTGTTTCGCCGGAGTGGGCCTCGGATGAAGCGGGATGAAGCGGGGTTAAGTGGGATTGAGCGGCATTAAACCGGATTAAGCGGGATTAAGCTGGATTAGCCAGATTTCGGACCAGGGCAAAATCAGAATTTGACCTCCCAGGAGTTGCATCCGAACGTCTGTGCCCCAATCGCCACCCACCTCAGACGAAGCCAGGACGAAGATAACGTCGGGAGGGGAAAAATGGAGCGGGGCTGCACCTAGACGTTGTTTCTCGTTTTGCTCTATCTGTTTTCCTGTGCCTCCCTCCAAAAGGACAAACAAAACACAGCCGAAGTCCAGCAAAACAGCGTTTAGGTCCAGCCCTGACATGGAGAATCTCTGAGGTCCCGCGGCTCTGGAGGACGTCTCGGGCGCCGCGACCTTCTCAGAGCGTTCCGGAACGCTCTGGGAGCGTTCCGGAACGCTCTGGAACGGGTTAATCCTCGTCCTCGCCCCGTCCGACAACCCCCCCCCTGGAAACAGGAGGGGGAGGAACGAGGACTCGCTGGCCTAACGGGCCAGGGGCGTGCCAAGATCTCACACGTGTACAACTTCCGGTTCGCGCGCGCGTGGCGGTCCCTGGGAGTCCTGGGACGGAAAGTACCCCGGCCGAAACCCAGGAGACTCCCGGCAAGGTCCGCGCAAGGTCCCTCGGAGCGCCCCAGACGCCCCCGAGATGGTCCAAGCGGCCCGGAGTCGCCGAAAGATCATTCCAAGACACCTAAGATGGCCTTCAGACAGCCCTAGAGGCAGCCAAGAAGCCCCGAGAGAGCCTCAAGAGGCCATCCAAAAGAGCCCCAAGAAGCACAAATCGTCCCATTCCCTTGGGAAAACGTGCATTTTCGGCATCAACGGTTTTTGCATTTCACAACGTTCAACACTGCACAGAAGGCCCTCAAAATCGGCCCAAGACGGCCCAACATGCCCCCAAGATCAGCCTAAGACGGCCGCAGAGCGCTGAAAGACAGCTCAAAAGGCTCCTCAAGACGGCTGAAAAGGTTCTCAGAACACCCCGAAAAGCGGTACTCCGAGCTGCCATGTCGGGCCCTTTTTCCGCGAGATTACTTACGAGACCGCCAGCAGGGCCCCAAGAAGCTCCTAGAGGCCCCAAACTACTAGCCCAAGAAGCCCCCAAGAGCCTCCCAAAAGGCCTCCCAAGAAACCCCACGACGTCTGAAAAAACATGGATGACCTCCCTGCGGCTCCGCACTCCACACGAACACCCGGAATATTACCGGCATAGATGCGACAATATGGGCCGACGGAGTGAGCGAAGCGATTCACAATCGGTGGCGAGTCCAGAGGGGAAGTGAGAAGGGGCGGGCTTTCTCAAAGGCTCGGATGTCACCCAGCCTTCCGAGAAGTTGTCCAAGCCTTCCCCGAAGGCACTGGAAACGCTCAGAAGGCCGGAGGCCTTCCGAGAAGCCCCGCCGCCTTCTGAGAAGGCCTTTTCCTTCTCACTTCCCTCCTTCGCTCGCTGCCGGAATAAGAAGACGATGAAACAGAAGAGGAAGACGAAGACGAAGAAGAAGAAGAAGACGAAGAAGAAGAAGAAGAGAGCGCGGAATGAGCAAACTGATGTGCGCAGGCTTCTGGGCCCCGTGCGCGTCATCCGAGACGCCGCCGTCGGGCGCGCAGTCGTCCAGGAGGCCCTGCAGCGCCTCCTGCAGCCCCCTGACGTCCTTGCGCACCTGCCCGGGGCACCACCGACGGCACTGAGACGACCGCGATCGACGCTGCTGATTGCCACAGCAGCCATGGCACCATGGAGCCTCTGCGACCTCTGTGACCTCTCCGAACTTCCTGGAGGACCTCCTCCTCTTCCTCCTCGTTCCTCCCTGCCCCCACGCACCCCCGAGGCCTTCTTGCCCCGGGCGTCCAAATCAAACTGCCTCTCGGTCTCGGCCTGCGCGAATTCGTCCACCTCCCTGTGGAAGGTCCTGAAC